TAATTCAGTGTTCAGTCCACCGAATACGCCAATGCGATACTGCATGCTAACAGCGATGTATGGTTCTTCCGAGAAAGCAAGCATGGTGTGAGAATTATGCATCCTTGCAGCACCACGATTGAATGCTCCTCCAGGAATGAGAACAGCAACAGGAAGTTTTCCCTTGCTTGGTTTATGGCCCTTCTTACGCCAGATGTTGATGGTGAGACAATCCTCTGATTCATAATCTGGACCCAGAATGGGGTCTTTGAGGAAGGGAACGAGTTGTATGCCAGGACATCTTCAAAGGTCAGCGTACACTTCAACATGATGCTTTTGGAACTTACCTTGGTCCTAGATAATAAGCTTCAATCGTCTCATTGCTCTCACCCACAGGCTCAGCATGTCTGAACCGTCGTTCACCAACCGGAGGCACAGCATACGGAATTCCCATGAACCCCTCCAACGGTTCAGGAAACGTCCCATCATCAACAAACTTCCCAATAACAGTCCCCTGCTTAATCCTCACAGAAGGCAACGCCTCCGGTCCAGAACGTCCAAAGACATCAGGATACGCTGTAAACGCAGCGGCCAAGAGGACAGGCAATGCAGCCAACCACGTCCATGAACTTCCCTTGCGTTTAGCCATGTTCAATTACGATAACATCTAATCTTGAGCTCTGCTACCTATACGATCGTGCTATTTAGATAACACCCATTGACACTTTTCCGTCGGGCGTAACGTCCAAGTTCCCCGGATTAGTTCCCCGAGACTTTCCTATCTGGATGACTTGCAAGGAACCAAGTGGGAACGCTGATGCACAGAGTTTAGAGCTACGGTTGTCAAATTTGAGATCCGTGCTGATCGGCTGCTAAGCTTGGGCTCCGAAGACGATAAGTTATCAAGAGAGGGGAAGTTGGCCGCGGGAAACTCGCACCCTGGTCAAGTGATAGTGGAGTCTGTTCTGAAATCCGGGGTAAGCTGTATGCATGCAGGGAGCTTTGACGAACGGAACAACGGCAGACTAAGAAACGCTATGTATTCGATGATATCAGAACTATGCTGCTATAAGATTAACTAGACCGACCCACGTATGCTGTCTATCTAAAACGCCAAGATGATGAGATGCCGAGATAACATGCTAAATCACAATTCCACGCTGAGACCATCCCCCCCTCCCTTTCCAAGCCCAGATCAGTAACCCAACAGCAACCCACACAGTAACAGTCTCAGCCCAGTAAGTCGGAGCATAGCACTGCTCACCATAGCAGAATAAATCACCACGCTCTTCACTCCCAGGCGCAGACTTTGAGTTGTTCGCGCCGTTCTGATACGTTGCTGAGTAGACAAGTCCCCAGAATGTAGACCCAGCAGCAGGAAGCATACCGATGATGCCGAAATTCGTAGCAAAGTTCTCTACGCCCCAGATAATCGTTACGATTAAGGGTGTGAGACTGAAGATTGCGCCGTAGCCTGCGCCCACGAGACCTGAGACGAGCCAGAAGCGCTCAGCGTGGTTTTGGACTAGACCAGATGCGAGGATCAAAAGACCGATTGAGAGGAGTGTTGCGAAGAAGGCCATGAAGGCGACGCGGGAGATGGAGAAGCGGTTGCTCACGGCCGAACGAGCATGCGGTGCTTGAACGTGCTGTGTCTGGGGATACGGTGCCAGAAGATCTGTTAGAGTGCCGATGAAGATACGAGAAGCAGTGTTTGTGACTCCAAAGATGGACACATGTGTCGCCGCTGAAGTGCGATGGCTTAGGCCTTCCATTTCAGGTGGTGTCAGTGTGCCAATGATTGTGCCCAGGTTGTTGATGAAAGCCTCGCCTGGTCCAACGATCAGAAGGAATGCCAGAGCAAAGGGCCACATGGTGCGGTCAGACAGGAACGAACGCGTTTCAGCGTTGAGGACCCAGTTCTTCTTCCACTTTGCATCGTCTTTCGACGGATCAAGTAGCGCTGAGCCCTCCGTCTCATCACCCGTCGCACCGTAACTCCTCTCGGACCTGCCGAGTAGAGAGCTTCCATCGAGTAAGCCGCTCTGCTCCAGCTCCTCGATAGCCTCGTCGATAAGCTCGTCTTCGTCCACTACACGTAATGTGAATGTGCCCAGCATACCCATGGAGAAAGTCAAGATGGCGAGGAAGAGGAAAAAGCGGAATACGTCCAAGTCGCCCTTGGAGCCGTCTGGCCGCGTCTCAGTGAACAGACGAGTTCCCGCTTGACTCAGCCACATGGGACTCAATCCAAAACAAGTAATCGGCGTAGCGAGCGCCAATCCTCGATAACGACCTTTTCCAAAATTCTTGGCGCAAGATGACACAGAAGCCATGTAAAGCGCGCATGTCGCGATACCAATGCACACAAACGCAAACATCAGAAACGGAACGGACCAGTCTCCATTGACACGATATCCAGGATGACTGCGATACTCCAGGTCCAATTTTCGATAAACACCTGCTGCAATGCCATATCCGCTACCGAAGAGGATTCCTCCCCCCAGCGCAAGCGGCTTCAGCCCAACGCGATCGCAGATATACCCAATGAGCGAAATAGGAAGGTACAGCGCTACAGAGCCAGCGATGGCGACGGCGTTGACCTGGAACTGGGTGTAGTGCAGGCGAGACTGGAGAAGGGGCGCGTAGAGGGAGAAGACGACGATGGAGCCGCAGGCGAGGGCTATGATGTTTGCTGCGATAAAGGCGATGAGGCGGAGGGCTTGCTTCTCCTTGTTTCGTCGCGCACGGGAGGATGAGTCGGAGGACGAGGCGTAGGAGCTGTATGTGGAGATTTGATCGGCGTCGAGGCGCGTGTCGTCGGGGGCGGGAGACGACATAATGATGAGGGTGTAGGATGGTTGAGGAGGGAGAGTTTAGGATAGTTTCATGGTTAAGATACGGAGCAGAATAGATAGAGTTTGTGAATGTGAATCACGTCAGTTGGGACTGGTCCATCGCGATCCCACGTCATGGGTCATGCTCCGAATCGTACCCCACAATTCTGTGCCGAGGTCGGACAAACTTCCGGATCAGTCAGAGCAGAGCCTTATCAATCTTATCAATCTGAAAGACATGGTCACGAGCTTCATCAAGATACCTTCACTTTTGGCTCATTGAAGAGCAATTCATGTGTTTCACCGGGACAGACATGGAGTCAGAAAGCCACGCAGGAGATCACAGCTGATTCACAGCTTGTACATCATTAGAACATATGTCTTGGTCGTACAGTTTGCGATACAGACTACCCTAGACAGTTACTAACAACAATTAGACAGAATGCCAGAGGCCAAGAGATAGCTAAAAAAAAAAAAAAAAAAAAAAAATCTTTATGCCTTGCATCTTTGACATTACTGACCAAAAGAAAGAGAATATTTCGATTATCTCTTATTCCTCTGCCTGTATGCGTGTTTTAGATTGACCGTTGTTGCCGCACAAACGCTGCATCACTGTAAAGTACAACGTCTGGCGAAGGCTGGATTGTTACAAGAACACGGTAATACATTTCTCGTGGGACACTAGTCTAAAGGTTCGGCTAGGTTAAACACGAAGAACAGCATGTGCTATGTCAAAGAACAGGGCTTAATTGAGCCCAAATTATTTGAACTCGAGGCGTCAATTTGCGATGTGCAATGAACGTATGGGCGACAATCAGGAACAGGTGCATCGCATGTTCACCTAAAGTCTCACATCGTCCTTCCTTACTGCGTGTGTCCTGGAGGCTTCTATTAAATTTGACAGCTGAAATATTACGGCAGAAGGCGATCAACATCCTCCAGCAACGCGTGCATCATCGTCAAATCTGGCCATCTTTCGGCACCAGAAGAGAGACCCCAGATTTTCGAAATGGCCTGTCGTGTCTTGAGTCGCCGAAGAGGAGGGCAAACTTCAATGCTCTCTGGGCGGGAGGCTTCGGGCAGTCACCATTGATGATAGCTCCAAATCTCGCAAGAGGGCTTCATACAGAGTATCTGTGTTCGGAACTGGAGTGAGATCCATATTTTTGTTTTGCTGCTCGCTTGTTGCTTGTCACCCAGTGAATGGCCTGCGAACATGTTGGTACGATGAGGGGATATGAAGTCTGGAAGTGCTTGCGACGGGTCGGGTACTCTTCAAGTTTGGGTTGAAAGTGTTGGAATGGAAAGTTTAAGCACCCCAGTGGGTTTATTTAGTCGTAGCAGTAAAGTCTTGTGGCGTGTATTATTGCGAGAAGGCTCGTGTGTTCGCAGGCCATTCTCCGAGAAGAGTGGCGGCATACGTATAAGGGGAGCAGTGCTGTAACTGTGTATTCTCCGTCGATGAGGAGCTGTCGGGTATGGGATATGAAGTAGATGCACCGCTCATGTCGAACGTGATGATAAATGTCCTGCATGGAACCATTAGATGTTGTACAACATGAATTTGTGAGGCACGCACCTTTGCAATAATGCTATTGGCCCCATCAATCGATACAACAAGAATCAGGACATCAGATTCGGTGTTGAGGTCAAGCCGAGTATTCCTTTGTTGAGTGGCGACACTTGTTCAGAGGTTCGTGTCGCCTCTGTTCGAACAACAATGAAGAAGAGGTAGTCGCCGGGAGACATGGCTCAAACTTGGCAAACGGCATGCAACACCGTCTCGAATGATTCTGGCCAGAAAAGATCTGGTTCTGTACTGCTGTCGTGCTCATGGATGTAGAGGGAGCTAAAACGGCGGAGTGAAGTGAAACATATTGATGCTGTGGACACTGCATGTTAGAGCCATCGCAATGTTTCGGTACGGGCTGTGGCAAACCTGGTGACATGGAAAAACCCACCAGAAGTGTCACTGATGCGAAATAAGAATGAAATGAAGCGATGGGTGTTCCCGCACGCGGAAGAAGGGAGTGTGTAAATCGAGGTTAGTATATCGCATCGCAAGACTCGCCGAGATAAATGGACGAGAGCAATGAAGACACAATTGAGTGAAATAAATGTTTCTGGTTTAGCCACAGACCGCTTATCCTCACCGACCACCGGACAACCTCTTCGCACACAGATTCAGTTGCTGGCAATATATATCGATATGGAAATGGCCGCACGCGGCACCCGCTTGTCGAATTGGCGTTCGGAGCACCCGACATCCATATCCTCATCCTTGACGACCGCGTCGCTTCCATATCCATATGCACTTTCTGAAAAAATGTGTGCAAAATGGTTTTGGGGTTTGGTGACCGTGAGTCGATTTTCTTGTTGCTCATCCTTAATGTCGTTGACGTTCATCATCAGAATCACCGACTTTCAAGTCTTTCTCGCAAACATTGATGTGAGAGCAAACTGACTCCAGGTTGAAGAAAACAGAGGTTTGTGCCTGTGTTGGTGAACGTCTCTTGGGCTGAGGGAGCAAGCGATGTTGACAGCCACTTCCACGTCCCCTCGCTCGCCCTAGCGGTGTTGGCCCTGTCGACCTCACTGCGAAAGGCGTGTCTTCACCGTCGCCACCCAGTAACCTGTCACCAGACTTACGCGGTAGCAACTGGTAAGGCATTGTGGTATAATGTCCAAGTTGTGAGCTAGATGTGTTATTTGCAGTTGAGACTTGTGGCTGAGAGCTTAAATCAGCAGAGAGAACTTAGTCCTCGTCCTTGATGCCATCGCCGCTCAGTATGAGGATCATCGACTTTGAAGTTCTCTGGGCAAATGTTAGATGCTGAAGAGGGAGGCAAAGGAACGTGGAGTGAAGTGACCCAGAGGGAAACAGCACAAAGAGAAGGGCGACATACCTTAGGGAAGAGCAAGCGTAGTTAGGATAGCAAGGTGATTTGAGGTCGAAAGGTCGAAGAAGATAGAGGTTTGTGCCTTGTGTTGGTGAACGTCTCTTGCGTTGTAAGGGAGCAAGCGATGTTGACGCTCCCCATTTCCTGGTGACCGAGATTATAGCAGGCGATTCTTCCACGGTGCTCGAAGCGCGTCGTGGTCTTTCGCGTATTGTAATTTCAACACGAGCAGGGCTTGAGGTCAAAGAAAGGATAGGAAAGAGTAAATATAGATGTAATAGGAAGCAAACTTGAGGATGGAAGCGAGTAGGAGGTGTCTTTGACTGATTTGTGTACGTGTTGTGATGGTCGTGAATGAGCGAGAAGCTCTTGCAGACTTCCACTGCGTGTCCCTCTGTACAGCTTTGCAGGCTCCGGCCTTGGCAGGCCCAACTACCGCAGCACGCACGCTCGATTCGGTGCTCAGTCCCCTCGCCATTCCTGCAGCAGGATGTCACCGTCCCCCAAGAATGAGGGCGGGAAGATGGCTTGCACCTACACCGAACGGCGTGCGGCCTCCATTACGTCCATGGAACGTTCGATACGATGTTCCGTGCCTTCGTCATTCCTGATCAAGCGCGCCCGGAAAGGACCTATTGGGTTTCAAAGTCAGCTCATGAATATGCCTCTCAGTTTTATTGACGTACCGCTGGTCACCTCAATATGAGGGAAGAGTGTTGCTGTCACTCAGGAAGCTGGCAAATAGGCTTATGTCTCATAGGCCTCCTCTTCATCGGACCATCTACACAGGCAACCCCAGTACGCTGTCACGCCGGAGCGGGCAGGATGGCCCTGGGCCTGCATACTCATGGTGAGATGGGCCTGGGTATATCTGCATAGGCTCATTGAACTGTAGATGAGGATGCTGAGGTATGTCCATATAGTTAAAGCCACCAGGAGCTGCGACGGGAGCCATGGCTGGGGGCAGCATCGGCATATAACCCATTAGGCGGCATGGGTGGAGGTTATTGGGGGACCATGTGGGTGTAAGGCATGGCCGGTTGATATACATGCTGCTGAGCAGCAACGACAAGCTGGTCCTCGGGGACTTGCTGAGAGGCGACAAAGACCTGTCCTTCAGGGGCTCGCTCAGTGGCATCAGGCGTGGGGTTGGGAGCGTGCCCTGGTAGGGCCTGTTGAGGTGTCAAGTCAGCTTCCACAAACATGCCTCTCAGCTTTTTCGACTTACCGCCTTTCACCATCACCCAGCCGAATGTACTAGCCCTGAAAATGGATGGTGCTCAAGCGTCTCACCAATACCTCGTGCCAACGGTCGAAATACATCGTCCATAGGCATGAAGTTGCCAGTGAGCACTGGCTGTGCCTGGTACATTTGGTTTTCCATGACCTGAGCGGCTGATTGTTCATCGGAACCGCCCTTCTTGGCCTTGGGGGCTCGCTTCCGACCTGAGTTGAGGGCATGTCAGTGTACTTGATCATTGTGATCAGAGGTAGAGCATAGGCTTACCAGGAGTCGCCTTCTTGACGGGGGTTGAAGGAGTGCTTCCATCGTTTGACTGAGCCTTGAAGGCTTCGATTTTCTTGTTGAAGAAAGTCCATTGGTTCATCCGAGCAGCGCGTCCTGGTAGGGCCTGTTGGAGTCATAAGGTTAGCTCATGCAAACGTGCCCCAGTGTTTGTCACATACCGCTTTCACCTCCTGAAGAGGGACGGATACCAGCGTCAACATCCTTCAACAGGTTGCTCAGAGACATGTCTCATCCAAGTAGCGTACCTTGCTAAGGCCTGTATGGTGTCAAGTTAGCTCTTATGAACATGCTTCTCAGTGTTCACGACGTACCGCTGTCACCTCATTACGAGGGAAGGATGTTCGATTCACCCATAAATGGGGACGGTACATGCCCTGAGAGAGGGCGGCAAATTGATGCGGGACGGAAACTCTGGTACCAACTGCAGCATCCGATGAAGCCCAGGTGTTGCCATTCGGCTGTTGTTAATGCTTCGCCCCGAGAGCGGGGGAAGAGGATCACCCCTGGTGTGGGGGAGGTAGAGAGTTGGTGAATCAGTGGCAACGCGCTGAATCGAGAGCACGAAGGTTGTTGTGCTTGGAAAATGCAGGGGAAAGTACGGCAGGTGAATAGGAGAATGGAAGGGCATGAGGGGAGGAGCGAGATCCGCTTGAGAGGCGGTCTCTGTCACCCTCAGGCGTGGGTCATGATTCGGAGGCGGTGCTCAACGTCACACCAATTTGAATCGGGGCATGAGCTGTGATAGCCTTCGAGGCCTGGCAAAAGGGTTGGCGCCGACTTACTCGGCTCCAAAGTAGTCTGGATTCTGAAGAGTTGCAGAATAGTGAAGAGACCATTGGTGGTTGGAGAGTGAGGATCGAGATCCGCCTGAGAAGCGGTCATTGTCACCCTCCGACGTGAGTTACACTCTGCAGCTAACACTCAGCATCACCTCGTTTTGAATGGGGGACAGGAGAGCACCCAATGCTGAAGAGTCGATGGTCGGATCCGCCTCAGGGACGGTCCGCATCACCCTCCAATTGGGGTCTCAAGCCGCAGCTGACACTCAGCAATATCACCAAAGTCCGAAGACCCGGGATGTCAACATCTGTCGAATGTCAGTGCCAAGTCTCACGAAGATATTTGAGAGGCGTCACTCACGCGTTAAAACTCTGCTGGGTCCGGTGCGCTCTCGACGTCCCTTGAAAATCCACGGGTGGAAATAATTCTCACGCCAGATCGTGCTGCATGAGGGGTCAGTGTTGATGATTTTGTTCCGAAGGGTCATACTAACTTGTGAATGAGGACCGGCCAAGGCACCGATGGACTTGAGTGAGGCGCTCCGTCCTGCTCAGGAGCCACACTCACCAGCTACAGTGAGCGTTGGCGGACCAAAGGCACAGTGAATCTGAGCCAGTGGTGCCCATAGTACACAAGGAACTGGGTGATGAAAAGTTAGCTCAACTCTGGATGCCATCCAAGAGCTGAGGGATATTATTGGAGAAAACATGCCTTTTTGGTTGATAGTAAAAGCTTATGACATCTCAAGGAGATATATCAAGCCAACACAGTGGAAAGGACTTGAGCGTTTGGGGAGTGCGGTGCGCAGTGTCAGAAATATTTGTTTGGGGTGAAGGAGGTAATGAATATTTGGTAGAGGGAGAAGAGATGAGAAATATTTTTGTGTGGGAAAAATATTGGGAGCTTTTGTTGTGAGCAAGAAGGCCAGGAGGTGACAGTGCCAGAGGAGGTGGATCATGTGACCTGTGCAATGCAGAAGTCCCTAAGTCCCTAAGTCCCCTACAGGAGGGGAACTTGCTCTGGTAACACTCATTTCTCAACTTCTGAAAACTCGTCCGCTCTCAATTCTTTTTTTACCACTGAATAATTCTGATCGATCTACACGCATAAACGCGTTAAAGACTTGCAGCAATGGACGAAAATGACAAGTCCTTGCGCGCTGCTTCCAGGAAGGAGGAGCTTGATGCTCTCTTCGAGAGTCTCTCGCCCTTCGATATCCTTTACCTGAGAAAGAAGATTTCCGAGACAACGATCACCCTTGCAGGCCTAGAGAAGCTACCACCTGAGATGGTCTGTGAGATATTGAAGTACTTCGACTTTGAAGATTACCGCGCTTGCCTTGCGGTAAGCAAGAGTTGGAAGACTAAGTTCGGTCAGAAAGAAACAATGGCTCAAGCCTTAAACACATTCTTCCCTGGCCTTATCCCTATGAACCCCAATGATCACCCTCAAAAGCTCTTCTCGATGGAACTAGCTAAGCACCTCAAGTGGAGGTACCCTCACGATAGTCGAACCTGGACACCTTGGGACTTGTCAACCACCAATTTCTTTTCCCGCCAGACTGCCGCAGTCCACTCCCAGGGCATTCCTTGGGCTTTTCTCTACAATAAGGGAAAGCTGGTGTGGCAGCTGTCGACCCATATCATCATAGTCGATGATATCAGAAAAGCAAATCGGGAGAGATTCGCCCCTCTTGCTAGTGCCATGAGAGGCGCGCGATTCCAAGCGGCCGCAATCAGCGACTACTTCCTGATCCTTCTCGAGCTCCTGCCAGGTTTGAACAAAATGTGAGTGCTTTAGCATTTCTGTTGAGAGTGACCTCAGACTAACATCTCTAGCCATGTTGCCAAGATGGATACCAGGGGGGCTTGGGCTGAGCTCACCCTTCCCGCTGGTCTCGACCACGCATATGTAGATCTGAAAAAGATGTTCTTTGTCACCACAAATGGAAAAATCTTTAGCTACAGCTGGCGTGAGTCTCTACAAGAAGTAGACCTGTCCGTAATTGGACACCCCTTTGGGCCACAGCCAGGCTGTTATGGCTTGGCGCAAGTGTTACCACATCCTCAACATGATGATGTTTTCTTCGCTGTCTGGGCTCTCTCCCACCCCGCTCGTGGTAAGTTCATTGACCGCAAGTTTCTCAACATTTACTGACGCTAGTAGGCCTGAATCTCTGTACCCTGAAGGTGGTCAAGTTCAAAGACGGAAAGATTGCTGCCATCAAGACGAAGGCAATCCCAAACCCGTTGCAGAACCCCCAGGAGGGGTGCAGCGATCTCACTCAACTTGCTATAACCTTCTCCGCCCGCAAGTCAGACGACCACGGCACCTACACCCTAGCCACCTACCGCTTCCAGGGCGTCGAGAAGAGGAAGCTTGAGCTCTGCGGCTGCTGTGAGCCTAAGACCTTGAAGGGCGATTGGAACGTGATCACCTTCAACCTCTTCACAGAGGCTTTTGCCGACTACGAATTTCTCTCCGCAGACTCGGACCTCCGGTATAACGGCGACCCTACGGCTATGCGAGGCCAAAGGAATGTTAACAGATTAACGGACACCCATTTTTGGAAGGGTGATCTAGTCCTTGCGTCGTCAATCACCTACGATGAATTAGGACCTCACGAGTACGCTGAATACTATACAGAGACTCATTTGGAGACTCTCCGACCCTTGGATGCACCAGCAGCGCCAGTGCCCCAATGGAGACCCATGAGACACGCCGACCCTGGGCAGGTGCTGCGTACAAAGGTGTTCCAGGACGACGACTTTGTTATTGTGCCGAGCCTCGGCGGGCTAGCTCTGTACAAGCCACAGAGACAGGCCCAAAACCCGGGGACCTTGTTTGATCACACCCTACCATTCCAGGATATGGGTCAAGAAAATCTGCCGCTCAGGTTTCAATTCTGGCAGAACGCCAGATTTATCGAACTTAAGCACGAGGACGATCCGGAGGAAGGGGACGATGAAGATGGGGATGTTGGCGGGGACGACGGGAATTGAGGAGAGAACATGGTAGCGGTGGGCTGCCCCGATCAACCACCACCGCATGGTAACGAGCGCAGGCCTGTCTCAAGAGGAGCTGGGGTTTCTTGAGCAACATCGCCTGAAAGACCTGCTCAAGCCGGAGGATATCCAGCCCAGGCCTTTACCAGTTCCGAACTTGGCAGTCCCTACTACCAAATTAGATGAGTCACTCCGGTTCAGTCTCCTGAAAAGTAGCGGCCCTGTCATTCTTTTCCTAAAACACCAAACTTCTCTGCCACAATTTACATCCCGACAACTTCATCCTCCAACACAACTGTCACCACAGATCAACATATCTTAAGATCGTTTTCGAGAGGCGCATCTCCTGACACCTCAAATGTGCTCCCCTTCACTTAGTAGGGCATCAACAAAATCGCCCTTACAGCCCTCGTATCCAACTACCAGGTTAAATGAGGTTGCCAAAGGTCGCCAAATGATATTGACTGCAGGAGTTGTCTCAGGAGGAGCAAGAGTTCGTTGAGCACCATCGCCTGGAGGGCTTGCTAAAGTCGGAGACTGTGCAGTTCGGACCGCTGTCAATTCCAAGGCTGTCGGTCAGTGGATATTGACTAGGTGAGGTCACTCCGGTTCAGTCTCCGGAGAAGGATCCTGGGCCGAGCCTGGTAACACAGCTCGTTTCGCCCCTTCACCAAGCACCTTGCCATCTCACGCTGGGTCGTGTTTCAGAGGTTTCGCTATTTTCTTTGCGTTCACTGGCAGAGGGTACATCCTCTTTTTGTTATTATTGTTGATGAGCGTTATGTTGATTAGACTGGGGATCAGTCAAAAGGATTATCTTGCTATTGCCCTCAGTGCTTTGAGCGGACTCCCGATCCAAAGGGGCTATCAAAGATCGTGAGGAAGAGGACGGCGATCCTGGCGTTGACGGAAAGGGATGATGAACAATACCCCTAGATATTTGCTACTAGTGTTTAATAATGTATGGCATTTGTATTGAGACTTTCTTACACTACTTTCTTCATTTCTGATGGCCTCGGATGTAATCTAGATGACACCGGAACGAGATAGCGCAAGAAACTTACGGAGTCAATTCATCTACGGTACTAACGTCGACCCTGTGTAGCCGCAGTCACTTGCGCCCACCAATCATTAATCCCCTCAACATCACACCAGTCCATCTCAATAGGATTCTCAAACCACCACCGTCCATTCTTGCGATCGCTCTCATACTTCTTCAAACTGCCCCCATCAAAACGATGGTTCTTTACACCCACAAGCAACACCGCACTTCCAACACGAGGAGTGAAAGCTTCTGGATCCAAAAAGACTGTGAGGTGTACTTGCTTCGACGTAGACGGGTCTGCGAGACGTGCAATCCGCTGTCGATATGGCGGAAGACTCGAGGGCTCAACTGCGGAGAGGTGGGAGACTATGGCGAGGACGTTGCAGGACCAGTTCTGGGCGTAGGGCAGGTGGGGGATTTGACGGAGGGTGGTGAGCTTGAGAGGGGTTTGGGGATCGTGCCAGTCTCGTGGGAGGGCGATGGCTTGGTGGGATGTTGGTGTCTCTTGGGTTATCGCAGTTCTTTGTGGAATTTGTGGTCTTCCGGGAACTTCAGCCTTTTGCGGTGACTGTGGCATTCGCAATACCTCCACCTTCTGTGGTGTTTGTGGTTTCAGTGAAGGCTTTGCCTTTTGTGGTGTCTTCGGTTTCTGCAGTGTCTCTGTCTTTTGCGGCGTACGTGGCTTCCGCCAAAGTGTTCCCTTGGTTGGTGTCTGCGGCTTCGGAAGTGCCGCCGTCTTTCGTGGAGACTCAATCTTTCGAAGTGGAGGTGGCTTCTGGGGGGTCTTGGGTCTGTTGTCATCCATGAGTCTCTCAAAGGCTTCGAAAGCTTCTTCGGCTGCTGCTTCGTCAACATCATCAAACTCCATGTAATCCTCAAAGACTGGTTTGGGAGGTCCCTTTGGAAGTTCGGGCTGATCGGGAGCCAGCCTGACCTCTGGCTCAGGTTCTGGTGCTGGTTTGGACTGAGGCACAGACTTTGCTTGAAGTGCTGGTGCCGGAATCTGTTCAGGCAGAGGTTCCTCCTTCTTCTGGAGTACTCGATATGCTTCATTCCAACCGACTGTGATGAGATCTCTCACCAACAGCATCACCATGCTCTCCTCACCAATTTCCTTCCACTTGACATCGAACTTCTCACAGCGAACATAAGCCCCCAAGGCGATGTCCCCTGTCGTGACGAAGCGGTGCATATCAGGCGCCAATATCGCCTGAATACAGACCTCACCATCGCCAAGAATAATTCGGATGACTTGCCATCGTCCTGATCTTGAGACCGAGATGCGATCAACGCCCTCGACAAGAAAGATGCTTCCGGGGATACAATACTTGGTGCGCAGAATCTCACTGACAAGAGGTTTGAGTTCAAACGGTTCGCCTAGAAAAGTGTTGGCGGCGGAGTCGAGCTTCAGCGATCTTTCAGGCATGTGTGATGATCCATCTATTGTTGGTGTTGATGAAGATGAGATGAGATGAGATGAGTAAGTGCTGAGCTAGCTTACAAGCGTGAATGAGGTCAGTATGCAGTTATCCACTATTTACTCAAAGCGGGGTTTGTTTGTTCACAGAACACTCATCATCCCTCAACACAACTCGAAATGAACAGTCCGTACGCAAAAGAAGTCGCCGTCGCTATTGGCGCTTTGAAAAAAGCTGCACAATTGAGCCAATCGATTGTTTGTGATAAGGACAAAGGCGCAATTGAGAAGGATGACTTGAGTCCTGTCACAGTAGCCGATTTTGCGGTCCAGGCGCTCCTCACATCGACGATCAAGAATGCGTTTCCGGAGGACAAAGTTGTTGGGGAGGAAGATGCTTCGGACTTGAGGCAGAACCCTGTGTTGATGGAGAGGGTTTGGCAGCTCTTGGAGGGGGTTGCTGGGGATGAGGATACAGTGTCTCTGTGCAAGTTGCCTGAGAGCAGGGAGCAGATGTGTGATCTTATTGACGAGTGCGGGGCTAGTAGCCCGTCTGCCACCGGGAGAACTTGGGTGTTTGACCCAATTGATGGGACGAAAACCTATCTACTCGGTCAGCTTTATGCTATCAACATGGCTTTGCTTGTGGATGGTGAACAGACTGTTGGGATTGTTGGTGCGCCAAATTTGTCAATTGATGCAAAGGCACCTCTCAAGAATGAAGAAATTGATCGCACTGGTGAAGGATGTATATTCTTCGCTGTCAAAGGCCACGGCGCTTACATTCGCCCCCTGCAAACCGATCAACCGAGGCGACTCCCTCTTTACAACTCCAACGACATCAGCCTTGTCACCAGCTCAACAGTTGACTCCGCCCTCTCCGGCATTCACGAAATCGTCGCCTCGCGTCTCAACACTGCTTATCCAGGAAACGACCTCCTGCCTTGGGTCCTTCGCTGGGCGGTTCTCGCGATGGGTCTCGGTAACACGACAGTCTGGGTCTACAAGCGTCGAGATCGATACGCTAAAGCTTGGGACCATGCGGGTGCCATGTTGTTGTTCGAAGAGACTGGTGGTAAAATTACGGATGTCCATGGGAAGAAGATTGACTTGACGGCTGGGAGGAAGATGAGTGCGAACTTTGGGTTTGTTGGAGCAAGGGAGGACCATGGAAGGGTTTTGGAGGTTGTGAGGGAGGTGCTGATCGACCAGGGAAAGGAAGAGTTCTTGACGTGACCAAGGGCTGAGGGCTGATTGTGATGCTTTTTTGAAGAGGTGGAAAGTGTATTTCGCGGAGATGCTTTGCAACAGGTGTTGTCTTGATCCTGTGGAGGTTAGGTACCGTCAAAGGCCATGTATACTCGAACGCACCATGAGATTGACAGCTCAATTGAATGGCTGATATAAACATGGTTCTCGATCCCAACGCGTACCTGTTAAGAAAACCCCTGGGCTGTATCACCGCCGGCGGCGCTGGAGTGTCGGTTGCGTGGTGTTTCCGTATAAATTTTGACCTCAAAGTCTTCTTAAGCAAACAGAACACGACACAGATCAATGGCGGTTTTGGTTGAAGGCGCAAGGCTGGTCAACGAGATAACCATGCATGTAAATTAAACCATTAACTTCATGGGCATGTATTAAAGCTTCGTGTGATCTATTAGAGAAAGTAAACAAGTAAAAAGAATCAGAGTACACCGAATTATATCGTTGATGATTTGCTTCCCCAAACTTTACACACTGCAGTGGTTGAGGCGCTTAGTTTGTAGCTGTAGGCCTTAGGTAGCTGCGCAGAAGACGTAGACGAGCCTGCTGTCAGACAATAAACTCAAATTGCGGTCAAAGATATTTGTATCAGTGAAAGAATGCACAATCGGCTAGTGTTGGCTGCGAGGGAGCACGCAACAGGTCATACTGTTGCCCCTGAATCAGCTATTGCTTTGCGCTTCCGATTCCTTCTTGAAAACAAAGGGTCGCTCCCTGAGTCGGGCTCGTCCCCACGGGCAGCATCTTCGCTGCGTTGTGCCTGAAGGATGAGCTGATTGGTGCAGCGAGTTGGCGCACATGTTCAGGTCGAATTATCCGGCAGCTGTGACGATAAGGTCTATGAATTAAAATTCAGGTATGGTTGGTGGGTTTGACTTGACGTTGTCTGTGGGGATTCGATCTTGGAAAGGGAAACGGTGGGGCAAAGACAAGATTCTGGCTTCGGAGTTGGAGCAGGAATTCGAGTTTGTGACTTGTTCTTGGGACATGGAAATAAAATCTGGAGTTGGAGTGTAAAAGGTTAGCGTTTGTAACTTCTCGGGATAGAATGGGGTTGATGCTCACCTCGAGATGCCTTTGAGACTGCCCTTTGATCAACAATGTGAACACTCGAAGCTGGGTACCGGAACACCCGCTTTGCAGTTGCCTCACAGTCACTCTAAGTCTGTTTTTCGAATCAGTCTGTATTCCACTTTACTAACTTGTTCATAGGGAACTATTGAGGTGAACGGGACGTATCAACCAGTGTTCACCTCAATGTTCGATAACTTA